AGGTTACCAAACCCAAGGTTTCTAGGGCTCAGAGGAGGGAGGAGCTGCTTTCGGGCTTTGCGGCTCGTTCCCAGCATGCCTTTGCGCCGACAGCTTTCGGCTGGTGCTGCAAGAGCTGTGGCCGATCGGTCAGGCGCTCTCAGAGCCGCGCCCTCCACCTGCTGCGTTCCTCTTGCTCGGCCCTGCGGCCGCCGCCAAGCCCGCCTCCCTGCCGCGTGGAGCTGCAGCAGCGAGGCCATCTGAGGGAGGGGGACGGGGCGGTCGAGGACGGGGGGGGGGACGGTGAGGAGCCTCTCGAGCCCGCGGTCGAGCCAGAGGCGGACGCAGCTCCCGCGCTTCGGGTCTGCGTCAGGCTGCCGCGCTCGTACGCGGGGCTGCCGCCCATCGACGAGCAGCTTTTTCGGTCTCTGGGGATGCCTGATCCCCCCTCTCGCTTGCCTCCTGGCACGGGCATTGCTGGACATGTGCCGCATGCCTCTCACTGTTTGTGGCGCAAAGGCGCCATCACTTTCTGCAGCATATGCGGGCGCTACGCTGACTCCAGGCCCTCGCGACTTCTGGAGGAGTGCGAGGCGGCGAGGCACGGACCTTTCGCGCTGACCAAGGCGCAGCTCACTGCCCTGCTGCGGCTGCGCAAGGGCCTCCCTCCCAGGCCTGGGGTCCGCGAGTGGCCCTCGGCGGGTGTTTAGCCCGCAATTTTTGTCTGCCAGCCTGTCGCCCGGCCTTTTTGCTCTCGCGATTTGGGTGTGCGCCTGGCTGCCGCGCATTGCAAAACTCCTCTGCCCTTCTCCTTCCTCCCATCCCTGCCTCTGGCATCCGCATATCAGCCATTTAGGCACATCCATCGCATGATTCGTAGCCCCATAGGGAGCTCCTAAGAAGGCCCCCGTGGCCCTGTCCACATGCGGCCGCGCCACCCATTTCGGCACACGCCTCAAACGTTGCGTGGCCCCATAGGGAGCTCCACCGAAGGCCCCAGTGGCGGTGTCCACAGGCGGCCGCCCCACCAATTTTGGCACACCTCTCACACTTTGTGGCCCCATAGGGGGCTTCTCCGAAGGCTTCACTGGCGGTGTCCACAGGCTGCCGCCCCACCCATTTCCACACACCCCTCACACCCGTCGTGACCCCATAGGGAGTTCCACCAAAGGCGATATTCACAACGACTGTACTCCCAACTGCAAATTTATTGTTTCTTCTGGTTTTTCCCCATGCGGGGTTCGGCAGAGGGGCCTCGCAGTATTTTCGTTCCCCCTTGGGGTGAGGGCGAGGGGAGGGGGCTGGTCCTCGAGGCTTATCCTGACACCGTGCATGAGAGGCATTCGCACGACCGCGCCAATGAATGTGTGCCCAACATGGGTCAGATGAATATCGGTGTCGCAGCCGCGGCTCGCACCAGTACGTCCGCGGGCCTCGGCACGGGCATCCCGCTGCAGCGGAACGGTCTTTGCACGCATCGCGGCAGCACGTGTGAATTGACCGCGCGCCGCACGTGCAGCAGTGCACTGGAGACTCCAGCAAAGCGCCTCCGTTGAGCCAGATCCCCTTTACGACGGCCGCCGACGGCCATGGCCCAGCGCAGGCATTCTCCCCGCCGCCCGGTGGATGATGGCTTGCCTTCCTGGAGGGACCTACGCTGCTCCCCCTTCGGCAGCTCGCACTGGGCGCTCACCCTCCAGTTCACCGATTTTCGGTGCCCGAGGCTGCCTGCGCACACCTCGTGGCGAAGATTCTCAAGGCCTGAGGCCCCCCCCGGCGTCCCTGTGTTCCTAGTTGTCTAGTGTGCCCTCTGCCCTGGCGCGGCCCGCGGGTTCTCCGAACGCGTTGGCGACAGCCCTTGCTGCTGACTGCACAAGTGCGTTCACCGCTACTTGCTTCCTCAAGCCCGAAAGAGACAATCGTTGGTTCACGGACAGCACGGCTCTAGTGATGCTATCGATTGCACCTTGACGCCGAAATCACGGCCGATGGCCCTGACTACATGGCCGATGGGTCCCTACTGTGAAATGCAGTCAACCTTGGTACACTGTCGGCATTGGTGGTCCAACGCGCCATCTGCTCCGCCAGGTGTGACCAGCATATATTGCCATTCGTCCGATGTGTGCATGGCGCAATACGTGCAAACTCATTATTTGCACCGCGCAGAGGGCACTGAACATCATAGAAGTCAGCTTCAAGGTAGAACCTGAACAGTCACGGCGGGATGCAGCGCGCACATGTGCGTTGCCAGAGCATTGCTGGTAAAATTCTTTCGTTTCGGCCGCGAGCGAGGGGGGGGAAGTGAGAAGGGGCGGGCCTTCTCAGAAGGCTCGGAAGTCCCCCGGCCTTCGGAGAAGTTTTCGAAGCCTTCCCCAAAGACAGAGACAACTCCTCAGAAGGCGCGAGGGCTTCTGAGAAGTCCCGCCGCCTTTGGGAAGACCTTCTCCTTCTCATTTGCCCCCCCTCGCTCGCCGCCGATCGTTGCATGGTGACCCTTCGATTTGCACAGCGGCTGAGGCCGAGTCTTGTGCAGTTTTGTGGTCGCGCTCCCCCCTCCTCCTCCTCCTTCTCCTCTTCCTCCACCTCCCTTTCCCCCCTCTAACAAGCAATGCTCTCGTTCGTTCTCGGAGTTGTTGGGAGCAGGATGAGGGAGGAAAGAGGATGTAGGAGCGACGGCACAGGGAAGCTGGGAGAAGGCAGGAGGTCGTGCGGAGAGGCGAGGGATGATCCGCAGTTGGGGCAGCGGCAGCCAGATGAGGGGCTGCCGAGGCGGAGAAGACCGTCGGCTCGAGCAAAAAGGAGCAGACGAAAATGCTCAACGCGGCCCGCGACGCGCGGACCGCCTGCAAGGTCCCAACGGGGCGGTGGGACAGCCAGAATCAGTGGCAGAGAGATTGACGCCCTTGCATCCCTCGTTGGTTGCCATTGCCCGCCTCCTCACTCCTCGTCTCTCCCCGTTCTCGCTCTTCTCCTCGTCATCACCCTCTTCCTCTTCTTCGTCTTCTTCATCCTCTCTCCTCGAAACCCTCGTTCTGTCTCCTCCTCCTCCTCCTCTCCCTCTTCTCCCTCCCCTCCCGTCCTCTTTGCTCCTCCTGACTCCTCCCTCCGCCTGCCTCCTCCTTCCCTTCCCTTTCCTCCTTCCTCCTTCCCCCTTCCTCCAGTTTCTTCCCGTTTCCTCATCCTCTCTTCTGCCCCTCCCTCCGGTGGGAGGGGGCGCGCCTGGCGTGCACGGGTGCAGGGTGCAGCTGTGCCAGGCACCCACGGCAGACACGGATGCTCGTTCTGGCTCTCCCTCTGGGACCCCTTGGGGTTGTCCTGGAGCCCCTTGGGCCGTCTAGGGGGGGGGGCTTTTTCAGCCGCCCTGGGGCCTTCTTGGGCCGTATGGGAGCCCTCTTGGGGGCCTCTTGGGCCGTCTTAGGGTGATCCAGGATGCTTCTTGGGCTGTCTTGGATGTGGTGGTCGCAGAAGAAGCGAATGTGCTACGTAGGTTTTGCCATGAACATGGGGCGATGCTTGCTCTTTGAGGCCGTCTTGGGACGCCTCTTGAGAGCTTCTTGAGGCCTCTTGTGGACCGCTGTCTTGGGAGATCCAAGAGATTTCTTGGGCTGTCTTGGACGTGGTGATCGCAGAACATCCGAGGCGGGAATTTGTACATGACCACCGCCTGGAGGATCAATTTTCGGGGACCTCGGCAGGCGGTGGACATGGATAAATTCGGGCCCCCGGGGGCCAAAACCTATCCATATCCACCGCCCGCTGGGGCACCAGGACGTCTGTTCCCAGGCGGTGGATATGGAGAAATCCCCGCCTCGCAGAAAAGGCGAGTGTGTTCCGACTGTAGGTTTTGTCATGGATGTGGGACGATTTTTGCTCTTTGAGGCATCTTGGGTCGTCTGAGAGCGCTCTTGTGGGCCTCTTGGGCCGTCTTGGGGCGACCCGGGAGGTTTCTTGGGCTGTCCTGGACGTGGTGATCGCAGAAGAGGCGAATGTGCTACGACTGTAGGTTTTGCCATTGACATGGGGCGATTGTTGCTCTTTGAGGCTGTCTTGGGACGCCTCTTGAGGGCTTCTTGGGGCGTCTTGGGGGCCTCTTGGGCCTTTGCAGGCCAACATGGACGTTTTCGATCGATATATCGGCGGCTCGTGACCCTCTTGGACCGTCCAGGGGGCTTCTTGATGCCCTCTTGACCTGTTGGAGCCTCCTGCCCCCCCGTGCGACTGCCACAACTGCGGCCACGCTTACGGCCACAGCTACGGCCATACCTAAATACAGCCATGAGCACGATAACTACCACTCCGAGCACGACGTTACGGCAGCAATGGCCACAAGGGCAGCTACCACGGCGCCCCTGGCTACGGCGCCGCGACAAGATCGGCATCCTGCGGCAGGCGCTGCAAGGCACTGCACATAGACTTCACGGGTCTGGTGTGGCTTGCGGCCCCGCCCCAGCCCGCAGGCCAACGCTTAGAGGACTTCAACATCAGGCCCAGGATGAGGATCACGAGGTCTAGAGCGAGGATTGGGAGGAAGAAGGGGAGCGAGAAGGTAGAGGAGGATGAGGAGGAGATGAGCCGCAGGGGCAGAGGGAGGGAGCCGTGGCCAGGTTGCGGGGGCGCATGCTCGGCCGCAGCCTTTGGCAGGGCGCTGGCCACGGCCACGCTTCTCTCCCCGCCTCCTCCCTTTCTCCTGCCTTCCTCCTTTTCCCTTCTCCGCTCATCCCCTTCCTTCTCCCCCTCCCTCTTTCCTTCTGTCGCCGTCCTCCTTCTCCTTCTCTCCCCTCATCCCCAGTCTCTAGAAGGACAGGACATGGTAGGTTGTGCACTGCCTTGAGTTGTAAGCTTGCAGCTTGTTCATTCTTATTGTCCCTGCATGGTTCTCGGGCTTCTGTTCTGTTCGGTCGGTCCCTCCGCCGCTCGTGTCTGCTCTGGCCCTCGCCGCGTTTCGGTTTCGGGCCCTCGTCGGTCTCCCTCGTCGCTGTGCGACTGCCTGAGAGTTAGGGCTTGACTCGAACCTACGTCCAAAACAAACCCCCTCTAGCCCTCGTCCGTCCGTAGCCGCTTTGGCCCAAGCGAGCCGCGTTTCGGGGGGCCCTCGTGCGCGCTTCGGATGCCCGCGTCGCGGCGCACAATCGGCCAGGGATGCAGGCCCGTGCATGGGCGGCGGCCAGCGCGCTGGCTCGGCGTCTCCGCCGACGGCGCCGGGCTGAGCTGTGCTGTGCGCGGGCCGAGTCGCTTGCCCTGCACATGAAGATATTCCGATGCTCGATCGATCGCGGATCACTGGCGGCTGAGAGACCCCTCGTGTTGTCACTTCTCGTCCTCGGGGGACGTGGTGGCGGCCGCGCGGCTGCTGACCGGGATGTCGTTGTAGTTGTCGACGTGGAGGAGACGATGGTCACGGACAAGTGGGCCAGGCATCGTGCACGCCGTGGCCTGGTTCATCAAGAACCCCGCCTTCGCCTAGCCGCATTCCGGGCATCTGACTACCAGGAGTTCCACTTCGGCCTCTTCGGTGGCGCCTTCGGGACGACGGAGGCGCTCCTTGAGGCTCTTGCGAGCGAGGGGTACAACAAGATGCAGAGCTATGACCCTACTCAGGATGCGTTGCTGGACGACGATGTGGTGTCCGTTCAGTCCGAGGCGCTGCGCGTGCAGCCCAAGGCCGAGTCCGTAGTGTCGGGGCCGGCGCTTGTCGCGAGCTTGCTGAGTGCCCAGTCTGTCGAGTCCCAGACGGATTCGACGAGTAGGCGAACGCGCTGGACAAGGATTGCGCTCTTGACCAAGCGCGAGTCCGGGGACGACGTGGTCGTCTTCAGTGAGGAGGGAGGGCGAGGACGGCGATAGCATCGAGACGGGCGGGAGCTTCGACGACGAGGAGCTGGGGGCCGATGAGTTCTTACTAGACTCGGCGGGCCTGTTCGGCGGCATCGGGGAGATGCCGGCGGTCGACAGCGCCCAGTTTGTCGAGGCAGGCTCCGACGACATCTTCGGTGAGATGAAGGAGTACGGTACGGACTCAGATCAGAAGGACTAAGACACGCCCGACGCGTTTGGCGACGAAGTGGACGTACAGGCGAGGTGCGCACTACCATGGATGGCCCCGCCCCCCTGCGAATTGAAACGAAGTTGCGAAAGATCTGGCGTCCAAGTCTTGGTGGCCGTGATTCCTCAGCTTCTGCTCGTGGAACGGGCTGGGCCGCGCGCGGGCGCATCGGCGGCGGCTCGTCCGAGAGCGGGCGGGGCCGCGGGACGGCCGCGTCGAGGTCATCCACTCATTGGCGTGCGATCCACCCTTCTTCCTCGATCCTCCATTCTCTTCCTTCTCCATCCTCCATCCACCATCCGCCATCCTCCTCCATCCTCCACTCTCCATCCTCCATTCTCCTCCACCCTCCATTCCTCCATCTTCCATTCTCCCTCCCCCTTTGCTCCTCACCCTCCATGACATCTTCTCCTGCAGGAACCGCGAAGAGGACGAGAGGAGAACGTGGACGAGAACGATGGAGGAGGAAACAGGGAGGGTGGGTGGAGGAGGAGGGGGGGGGGAGGAGGAGCATGAACAGCAAGAGGGCGTAGGGAAAGGGAAACATGATGAGGAGGGTTGACGGCCCAGGGGTTCTGTCGGATATTCAAGCAGATCTCTCGTTCTTCTCCTCCTCCGCCGCATCCTCCGCCTCCTCCTCCTCCTCCACCTCCTCCTGCTCCTCCTCCTCCTCCTCCTCCTCTTCCTCCATTCCCCCCCTCTCTGTGTCTCTTTGCTTCCCACACTTACACAGTATGACTACACCTATCCTCTCTCCCCTGGCCCTGTGCGGAAGAAGGGTCGGCCCTCTGCGCGCTTTGTGGGTTTCAAAGTCTGATGCGTCTCATGTCGTTGATTGACATGCGCGTGGTTCTGGTGTTTCCAAACTGTGTTCCAGTTGCAGCGTGGGCATTATTGTTCGATCGGCGATGTGTTCCCGTCTTTTCAGAGTGTCCACATACTTGGATCCGAGTCCTGTTTCATCAGTATCGCCCCCGTATTTCCCCTCCGCCATCCAATGGTCCCCCTGCTCCTCCCATTCCTTCCACTCCAGTTCCTGCTGCTGCTGCTGCTCGTCCGCGTTCTCTTCCTTCCGCATCCTCCTTTTCGTCTTGCTCATCTCTGTGTTCACCCGCGACCTCCTCCTCCTCTTCCTCCTCCGCTTTCACCTATTTGCGCAGCTCCCCTTTCTGAATAGCGCATAACACGACGTGTTCGTTTGTTTTCTGAGTTCGAGGTCGGTCATGACACGCGTCTGCGGCTCCAGATACACATCAGCGCAATGGGAAGAGATGCGAGGGAGGGGTAGGATGTCAGACATTGCGCGAGCCCGCCTAGCTTGTCCCTACCCCTCTCTGGATTCCCCCTCCCTCCGTTCCCTCCTCCCTCCCCTCCCTCCTCCCTCCTTCGCCGATCTCCTCTCTTCCTCTCCTCGTTCCCTCATAGCATTGCCCCCCTCTCCTCCCGCTCCTCCCTGCTTCCTTCATTCCCCCTCTCTTTTTGCTGCCGCTTCGAGTCCTCCTCCTCGAAGGAGGAGGAGGTTGCTTCATCGCCTCCTCCGTGTCATCTCCCCGCCCATGTTTTCTCTCTCTCTCTCTCTCTCTTGTCTCCTCCTTCCTCCCTTTTGCCTCGTGCCCCCTTCCACCTGCGTCTCCCTTCGGCCCCCTGCCCAGTGTGACAACATGTCCCCGCCTTTTAGGTGCATGCTGCGGGGTATAATGGCAAGTTGCATGCGCATTTTAGGCCGTGAATTTGAAGTACGGAGTGTTGCAGTGGAGCAGTGGCAATGCCCGGGTTGAGCGAGAGTGGGGAGTAGACGTACTCGGCTGACCACAGCAGGTGGCACAATGTCTCCACTGCCGATGTACGTGCCGCTCTCCGCTCGGAGCGGGTGGCAACTGTGATTGAGCGTAGCACGTGCGAGATCATCCAACCATCCATCCCCAACATGTAGGATGCGAACCCATCTTCCACAAGCCAATGTTCCATAAGCTGTATGGCCAAGTGAGAAAATAGTATGTACAAACAGTGCAATTCTTGGACTGCGAATTGGAGCTTAAACTGTAAGAGACATGGTGTCCGAGTCTCTGAAGACACATATGTTGCAACAGTGTTGCTGAGGATCAGGCGAAGCTAGTGTGCAGTCCTTGAACTGTTACCCTTAGCAAGGCAAGACCGTGTCTAGGTGCATGCGTTGTGGGCTGCTGCCCTTTGTGAGGGGAGGACGGTCACAGATCAAATAGGACAAGTAGGAACGAGTGAAGTTAAGTAACAGACGCACTTGTGCCAAGCGTAGCGGTTCTTGGGCAGTCGCCCAGGGCTTTGCGGTTCACCCCAAATTTCCTTGGGCCCGGGACTCCCGTGTTTGTTGTCAGTTCTGTTCGTATTGAGCACGGACACGCAGTACACAAATACGTTTGACGGTTTGCTTGTAAGGCTTGCTTGTCTGGCGTGGTTCGCTCTGGCCTGTGGGTTAGGGGTCCCGAAATGAGGCCCTGAAGCAGTAGACAGGATGCGATCGCGAAGGGGAGGTAAGAAGGGAGGTACAGGGCAATCGGTATTAGCACGTCGGTCTGCAAGCTGAGCTTGGACGCGCAGAGAGAAGTGGTACTTGTGTTTTCCCCAGCTCCACCTCCTCCATGTAACCCATCCCTCCAGAGTCCACACGTTTGCATAGGCTGTATAGCCATGTGAGAAACGAGCAAGGTGCAAGCAGTGCAATTCTTGGGCTGCTACCCTTACCTTCAATGTAAGAGACATGCTGCCTGAGTCTCTTGAGAAACAAACTGCTGTAGTAGTGCTGCTGAGGAGCAGAGAAGGATAGTGGGAAGGCTAGTGTGCAGTTCTTGGGATGCAACCCTTAAGCAAGAAACGAGACGTGATTAGAGTGCATTGTGGGCGGCTGCCCTTGGTGAGGGGAAGGCAGACCACACGACATCTCGAAACGGGGGTAGGAGTGAAGATGCATAGCACGCAGTATCAGCACGTCGGTAGGCAAAGTGATCTTGGACGTGCAGAGTAACGCGGCAAATGTGAGTGCTGTAGGCTGGCCTGTGTAGGCTGGCCTGCGGACTCTTAGCTGGGTTATGCCCTCTGGCTGGAGGGGTGGGGAGGAGCATGAATGTTGTCAGAGAAGAGGCCGAGCAAGCAAGCAGCAACGACGGGTAAGAAGTGAGGGAGTAGGGGCCGCGGGCAACCGAAGGCGAATAATACAACACCGAAGCCCTATGCATCCAGGGGATGTGCTGGATGTCAGTAGTCCGCGGCAGTCGGTAGGGCACGGCCCCTAAAGGGGGTCCAAGTTAAGTAGTGTGGTTGGTTATCCGGTTTGTTCAAGCAATGGCCAAGGGTAAGGTATGAGAAGGGAATGGAAGACGGGACGACAGCATGAGTTGGGTTAGCCTGTGTCGGTTGCCTGTTAAACTTGTTCGGTTTGCTGCGTAGGCTTGGCTTGCGGTCGTTAAAGTGTAGTGGTTGCTGCATCTGAAGAAAGGGGGTCACGTCCTGGGTTGATGACCCCAAGGGTAAATTGGACAAGGTGAGCCCGTCGCGCATGTAATTCGAAAGAAGTTGGGTCACTCCCTGGATGGGGACCCCAAAGGAAAACTAGGCAAGGTTGGTCAGCCGAGCTGGTACACTATAGCACAAGCTGTGCTGTTGGTTCTGTGAAAAGAACGAGGGCATCCTGTATGACAGGGGCCCCTTTCAACCTGGACTAGCAATGCTTGGGCTGCGACCCAGGGTTTTGGCGGTTAGCCCCAAACCGACGGGATTGCTGAGGGATCCCAAGAGGCCACCAGGAGAGTCAGATTGGCGGGGGAAGGGATTCCAGCATCAGTGAAGTCATCGTCTGAGAAGGAGGTCGGGAGTGTCGACCACGATGCGTGCGTTGAACTGTCTGGTCAGGGTTACACACCAGAAAAAGAAAGGGGAGGGGAGGTCAGTAGACGATGCTCTGCGGTAGTTGACGTACTGCAGGTGCTTGTGGTGAATGTCGTGGTACGATGCTGTGATCAGTATGTATTTAGTCTGCTCCGCGGCCACTGTTGTCGTAGCCCATCGGCTTGGGCTTGGGTGGTACCTTGTAGAGTCGCACCACCGGCTTGGGTGGTGGCTCTTTGTAGGGGGCTCCTGGAAGGTAGTTGTTGTGGAGGGTGTCGAGGAAGTGCTCGTGCCGTGCCTGATGCGAGCGGATCCTGTCGATGTAGTTGTAGAAGGTTGGATATATTGTGTTGTGTGCGAAGATGATGCGGCGGTTGTAGATGAGGATGTGTTGGTCGCCTCGTCTGGCTGCCGCGTTGTTTGCTGCGATCACATGGGCCGGGTGAGATGGAAAGTAGGTTTGTAACGTGGCGTAGGTTTGGGGTGCCATTGTGTTTTGCGGTACCTCCTGTATCCAGCGCTGTGTCATGATTTCTACGGGTGCTGGGCAGATGATTGGAATCTGGAGTACAGGTGGTGCAAGGTGCGCTGGTATGGCTAGTCTCATGGTAGGATACCTCTTGGGGATCGCTTTCGTGTACGGGGTCTGTGGTGTGATTGGAGTCGGGACGCTCTTGGCGACGCAGGTGGTCTTTGGTAGCTGAGGTTGTTTGTTGGTTGCGTAGGTGGGAAGAGGTGGTGGTTTCTCGGCTGGTAAGGTGTTGGTGGTCGGGGTTGGTGACGTAACGGCGGTGGTTTAGTTGGACTGGTGTGTTGGGGTAAGGTTGAAATTGACGTCCTGTGGTGGCATTAGTGTAGTTGCTTATGGTGCGGTGTAGTGTGTGGTGGGGAGTGGTGGTGCCTTCTTCACAAGTAGTTTTGGCTTGGTGGTTGGGGGTGTGGCTGGTACTGCTGGTCTGTCGGTAAGCTCCTCTGTTTCGGCTTGAGCTACGGGCAGGTCCATTGTGTGGGCAATGTGCGAGCTCGCTTCTTGGGCGGTTGGGTTTGTTTGTTTGGCGGGGGTACTGTGGGTGGCGGTGGTCTGTCGGTTTGACTGTCTGCTGTTTGTGTGTGCTCCTCGCTGGTGCTGTCATTGTAGGTTAGTGGCGTGGGCATGCCGGCGCTAGTAGTGATGGTCGGGTTGCACATTGTAGTGGCCTGCGGCCAGTGCCGCCGATCCCGGGCGCTCTGGATGATGATGATGATGATGATGATGATGATGATGATGATGATGATGATGATGATGGTAATGTGACGATGGTGATGGTGATGGTGATGGAGATGGTGATGATCCCGCCCCCCTCCACCCCCCCTCCTCTCTCTCCTGTCCCCCCCCCTCTCTCCTGTCCCCCCCCACTCTCCTTTCCCCCTTCCT